GATTTTGATGAAAGCGAGAAGGACTTGGTTTATCTATACGAAGCGATAAAGAATACTATTAACGAGAATGTCAATGATATTATTAATATAGTTACGCCGGTATTAGAAAAAAAGGTCTCCGAATTAATGATTTCAATTATTAACAAGGTAACCTATAACAGATTTGAGCAATTGTTTCCCGAACAGATATAAATCATCTATAACTGCAGAAACCTTTTGTCACAAAGTTGCTCTGTGCATCCTATAATGCATCCGACAAAAGAATAATTGAAATACATTACGTGCAATATATATTTTAATTATTAAAAATAACAATATTTAAAAAAGTTGGCGATATATATGTATAGTACTTTATTTGAGTTGATTAATGAAACATTGTTTATTGACAAATTGCTAGTACAACAGTATCGATTTGTTGATACATCATGGAATAATAATTAAATAAAAATGTTACTTATCACAATATCACTTTGAAAGCTACATTTATGGAACAAAATTATTAATTGTGTTGTAATGATGTTGTAATGACGTTGAATTGTATGTAATGATCACAAAATTATTAAGAAATATTTAATAAAGATTGCGATGTTACTTTTTGTTATTTACTTGTAACTCTGATATTTAAAAGTTAATAACCTGTTATCTAAATTTCCGCAAATTTATAATCTATATTATTTATGTATCTGCAACAAAAAGATGTTTAAAATCATTTTCTGTCCTTATATATATATATATATATATATATATTAAATAAATACAAACTGTACACTTTTACATTATTTAAACTAATAAAATACAAGTATACTGATATAAACTAATGTAAAATATTTTAAATCAAACTTCCCTAAATAAAAATTTATTATTTATTTTATTTTTTATTGACTGCTCGTTTGTCTAATGTGATACGATGATTATGGATACTTCTTAAGAGAAGCTTGGAATAAAGCTGTGAAGTTAGAATAAATGAATGAATGGAACAAGGAAAGATCACAAATGCAAATAAGAAAATGTATTTAAAAAAATTGTATTCTATCCAGTATCTTTTTATTCTAGATTATCTATCTACTTCTAAATCTCTATTAACAATAAATCTCTCGCTCTCCTGTAAAATGAAAATTAGTTCCGCTCTGGCTCTCCTACTTTACTATATCTAACGTCCAATCATGCGATCGTGTGCAGAGTATGAAAGCAAATGAAATAAAATAAATAAAGGACTTTTATTCTACATATATGTATTAGAATATTCAGAATAAAGCTGATGACTGAGAACAAAACGTAAGCGCTTACATCTGTGTGGTCGTAGATGTATAGAATAAGGTAGAGAAAAACGTATGCGTAGAAACGTATATGCATTTCCGACGTGATTAAAGGTTTTTGTGTAGATGCGAATTATATGTACGTTTTTCTCTATATACCTATGACTACGGCAGACCTAAGCGCTTATGTTTTGTTCTCTGCCATCAGCCTTAGAGTGAGAGGACGTTTCAAACAAAGATGATTTTATAATATATAGAACCTCAATTGATTTGTGTGAGACTTGATCCGCACGCACGCAATACTGTCTGTCAATGTTACGATACAATGAAAAGTTTCAATATAAACATACTACATTTTACTCGCATTACAATCAGTATATGTACGTATATGCATGCGATAAAATATAATAGTTTTTGCTGCAGTGAAATAATGCTTCTTCCGTTTGTCGGTCATTTGGCATCTTCTTTTTTTTCTTCTTTTGTTAATTTATTTGTATAATTATATACATTTCTTTTAGCCATCTATTAGGTTCAAAAATACCGTTTTCACTAACTTCTTACTTTTCTGAGCAAAGGATTGAATTAAGCTAGTCAGTAATTAAAAATAATACAGCTAATCAGTAATTAATTAGTCATTAGGTTATTTAGTTACGAAGTTAGTTTCGTGTCAGTATTGATATTTAAAAAAGAGTCTATCAAGGAATGTGCCGTGGCTGAGCAAGTAAATTTCAGCCACTAATATTGATTAACTTAAATCGTTTACACTTAATTTGAAAAATATTATAGCCTTGATATATTCGTATAAGAGTTTTCGTCTTAGAATGCTCCCCAGAATCTGCCAGTAAAACGACATATGATTTTTCTAGGACATCCTGTATATTATACATTTCCTTTAGCCATCTATCGGTTTAAAAATCTCATTCTCACTAACTTTCTTACTTTTCTGAGCAAAAAATTATAACACGAATGTATATTTATATATTATGTATGTTTAATGCTATAATTTATATATAAATTATTTAATACAATTTGATATCGATACTTAAGTGGCAAAATCACCTAATGCAATAAGAATAATATAATTATGCTTATAAAATAACGTTGATTTAAATTGTACTTCCGATTTATTTTCATTTTTCGCTTACTTAATATCATTTGAAGATAAATTATATTTGTATACTTATGTATGGAAAATCTATATTAAATTTATTAAGTTAATTAAATTTTAATGATCAACACGCTCAACTCCTCTCATTTGTATAAGTAACTGTTCATTGTATTATTTGGAAATTTTAATAAAAGAAAGGATAGGCCATTTATTTCAACGAATTGTGTTTATATCATGCTCAAGAGTTGATCTGACAATAATGGTATCACTTTTATTTGATATTTACAACACAAAATTTAATGATTTTTTAAACAAATTATGATTTGATTTAACATAAATGATTTAAAACAAATGCAGCATATTAATTCGTAATACGTTGTAAATACTGCAAATTTGAAAAATAAAAAAATTTTTGTATATTTATAATTTATTTTTTTATATAAAAAAAATGTTAAATAATCTTATTTCTTATGAATTTTTATAATTTTGTTAACTCTAATCCGAACAGTATGACTTTAATCAAACTAATATTATCGGCAATTTTGGAATATGCAAGAGAAATATATTTAATCAAAACTTTATTTGCAGCAATATTATTCCATAAAGAGACAGGCTAACGGTGCGATTATACATGAAAAATACAGAGAATATTAAGATCGGATTTATACTTTTTTTATGTAAGTTTTGTTTCATTGCAAATATGATTTTCAATTCTTAAAAAGAAGGAGAAAAGTTTTATATAATGTGATTGTGAGACGCTCAAATTAAAAAAAGTATATAAATATTCAGATTTCCTTATTATCTGTAAATAACATTATATTAAAAAGAAAATATTTAATTTAAAACTTGCAATTTAAACAGAATTTTTTTAATAGAAAGAATAATTTATACCTCTTGTTAATTTTTTAAATTTTTATAGTTAGATTTTTTATACTTTTAACATTGAAATAAGTGTTACAAGAACGTAAAATGAATGGTATAATTACAGAAAAAGAAAAAATAATAATATCAATCTAGATACAGAAAAGAATAAATATTTATGAGGATAAGCTATATAAAGAACAAATCAAGATTCATAATTCCTCTACTTAGTTCTCCCACGTTTTCTGCTACAGTTAAAAATTATAATTTCCTCTTCTCCCACCTCAAATTACTTGATCAAATGATTGTGCGCAGAGAAGGAGATACATATACATTACTGATTACATTAGTTGAATATTTTTATTCTACGCATGTGCTGTGAATTAGAGTGAGTATTGAGAGCACATTCAAAAAGAGGGATGCAGTGTATATATTATAGAAGCACGATTAGTTTGTCACTTGATTTATTTCCGCACATTTGTTAAGATCGTTCCGGAGTGGTTTTGTGTACTAACAGTGCAAGAAAATGTTCGATCAAAAAATGTTTGCTGCACTCTTTGCTTTTGTGCTTCTAACGGCATATGCCGCAGAGGAACTACGTAAGTAAATAATAACATTTGCGACACATTTATTTCCGTCACGATGTACGTATATGCATAATATTAATTTTCTATAAAATAGGGAAAAAAAATCATTTGTTTGGAAATAGTATTAGGTGTAGTAGAAAGTTCATAACTTTAAATTCTGCATCAATCGAAGTATCATTTTAAATTGAAATATTTCACGTTTTTTTTACGATTAATATTTGAAGTTAATATTAATAGTTACAAAAAGCCACGATGGGACAAATCAACTTCAAAAAGCAATATTGTTAATCAATTAATTGTTAATGACTCATTCTGCATGTCAAAAAAAAAAAATACATAGACACAAACTCTGTTGAGGTGACGAAATAAATCATCTTCGCGTTGGACTGGGAACTTCTCCTGCTCTCCGCTTTATTCTCCTTAATATTACTAAATATTTTTATGAAAATTTTAAAACATTTCTTTAATTTATATTATTGAGTCTATATTGAATTTGATTTATTATAAGTTTTCTGTAATCCAATGACAAAGAATTAACAGTTATTCTATTAAAAATATATAATGAGAAATCTATATACTTTAATAACAATTTCTTTAAATATTATTAAAGTAGTTTAAATATTATAGGGACAAATTCTATTCATGCATTTATTATATTTAAAATGTATTGTCAAAAAGATATTCTTTCCATTTCAAAGTAATTGTTATATTCCAACTCATTTTATACATCTTAGACAATTTATTATAAAGTTTCAAGTAAAATAAATGATTTATATTCTTCATAGCATCTTACATTCGTGTCTGTGGCCTCAAAGATCCCAAATATAATGAATGTATTCTGCACAGCATCATGATTGCAAAGGATCAGGCCTGCTTAGGGATGTCGGAATTTGACATTTCTCCGGTCGAGCCAATAACTATTGACAAAATGGTTATTTTTAACACAGATAATCTTAAATTAAATCTCGAAGATTTAAAAATAAAAGGATTTTGCAATCTTGAAGTGAAGTCTGTTAACATATCCCCTGATAAACTTCATTTCGATATTGATGTCACATTGAAAAATATTGATGCAGACTCCAAGTTTGACTTCGACATACGTTTATTGGTGTCACTTGCTAATAAGGGAATGATTAAGTTTTCTACAGGTATATAATAGTCGATTTTATATTAAAATAAGACGAAAGTTTAGAGCTACTTTAATATAAAAAATTCAAAAATCTCGTTATTA